TAAGGACAGGAGTGATTTTCGGAAGTTGCCATAGTGATCTTTAACTTAGCATTGATGTTAACGTTAAATACGTAACCAGATTTTAGTCATTCGGATGTCAGTGGAGACAGATGCACACTCTCTGTGCCTTGTTGTTTGCAAACACTAGCAATAAAAATATTTATTTTGTCTGCCACCAGGGGTCACTACCATTGTCAATACTGTATTCAGGGAACTGGTAGAACTCATGGGAATAGAATCTTTTTTAAGTTTTCGTTCAGATTTCTACCAGCGGCTCCCAAATGACAGCCAGGATCCGTATCCGGCCACGTGGGCTACTTATTAGCGAACCGCGAGGTGAACACGTGAAAGGAGGTCGTTTTCCTTTTCTTCGCCTTAATGGCCATGTGACAGAGTCTCATTAAAGTAAAATTAGAGATTAGATTTCTGAACAGTTGATCTGACCACTTCATTCGTCGTAAATCTAACTGTAGAACACAAAAGCTGTATAATGAACACTCATTAATCACTCTTAGCCGTACTATGGGCTCAGCTCGTTAAAGCCTCTAAGGTGGTTAGCGTTACTTAAATCCCTAATACCGTGTTTATATCATTTTGGAAAGATCATTATTCTAAGTTTCCAACTTTAGCTTCCACCTCGAAATCCAAGTCATAATTAGGAAATTGGGATTTTTCACACTTGGCACCGGGAAAGCCAAAGTGTTAGCATACAACCATCTCCATGAGTCACACGCCACGTAGGAATATTTTTGAGCGCCGCCATTAATCTAATGTGAAGTTCACATGACTGCATTACTCCCGAGTGCTGTTAAAACTGTGCTGGAGACAGTGACCAGACGAGGCAGCAGGGCGGCCTACCAGAGAGTGTTGCAACGTTAAACACGCAGCCTTGGCCCACCGTGGTTTTGGCTGAAATAGAAAGCTCACTGACTGCAAAGCCTTTGGGATCAGTTTAGTTTATGCTCTGGCCGCAGCCAGGTGATTGCATGGGCCCTTCAGCTCAACTCATCTGGCCTCAATTGCGCCCTGCGCCCCGCGTTCGCTGAAAACAACTAAACAAACATATAAAAACACATGATGAATATATCCATTGTTGCCTCTCTGATGCTCATTAATCAGCAAGGCCTTTTTTTTTTTCTTCTTCCCCCTAAATGGCAAATCAAACACACAGCACAGACAGGAAATTAAAACCAACTGCACCAAAGAGGAGCATGGGAATCCAGGGGAAAGGGAGGCTTTGATTTTTTTTTTCCCTTCTTCCTTCTACTGAGGAAGACCATCTCATTCATGAATTGCTCACAGGGTTGCGCTCAATGTGGCACTCACACGCATTATTACTACAGCAGCTCAACTTTGAAAAAAAAAAAAAAAAAATTCTGAAAAAACTGAGGAGACTCCAAAGTTAACAACATCCACTATCACACATCGAAAAGACATAAAATCGAAATCATTCCGTTTTTTACGACACATACCAGGAGACAAAAAAAAAAAAGTATATAATGTTCCATCAATGAAAGCGAATAGAACACATTCCGATGTACGGTGTGTAACACGTGAACAAGGGCGTCTTCGGCATATAGGTCCACGAGACCACATGTTCGTCTGCGCCGCTCGCCAACTAGTTCCCGTGCGACCTCGTTTCTAGGAGTTCTAGAAACTTCTAAACATTTCACCCTAAGTAACAACTTCAGCCTACGACTGCTGGATGTTCTACGGTCGTTTTTCTTCTCTGTCACTTGTTCACCTGGAACACGAGTCAAAGCCACTGCGGCGGCAACTGCCCTTAAAAGGAAGTCTCCCTTTTCCTCACTCATTTTTTCACTGGTCTTGAATGTATTACAGTAAAACCTCGTCTGTAGTAAAAGTCCACGAGGGAGTGAGCAGCAGAGACCAGGCTCTAATCATCGTTCATGAGCGTTCCAGCTGAGATTCCTGTCCTGTTTTTTTTCCCTCTTTCTTTTTGTTAGTTTTGCTGTTGTAATAATTTAAGTGGAAGAATGCTTGAAATGTTTGGAGTAATTAATTTCCCATCTTCTTGGTACAGAGACATGACAGCTGGGAGAACGATAACAGAACAACGTGGTTATTGACATCAGATTTTTTGCCAGAGTTAATAACGCAGATCGTTTATAGGAAATGGACCCTGTCACTGAGTCGTCAGTTGTGGTTGCTAACTGAAGTCACTTGTGCATACCACAAGTTCTGGTGCTGGTTAACGAAGTTACTTGGTTAGAATACTATGCTAATAAGTAGTCAGTAAACTAACTTGGACTTGTACCGCAGACCTACTTTATGGGAAGGGAGGAATCCTCACCAATATTATACTAGGGATGGCTCGACACTAGCGCTAGTGCACGGCTAGTACTGTGTACTGTAGAGCCAGTGGTAGTCTAGTGGTGTGTAGCATTGCGCTAATGCTGCGTAGGTTAGAGCTAGTGCGGAGCCAGTCCTGTTTAGCGTAGCACTAATTTAGAAGATGTGTGTTATAGAGCAGAAGTAGTGCAGAGCTAGTACTGAGGAGTACAGCGTAGCACTAATTTAGAAGATGTGTGTTGTAGAGCAGAAGTAGTGCAAAGCTAGTGTAGCGCTAATACAGTAGCTAGTGTAATAAAACAGAACAAATGACCTTTTGGTGATTTTGTACTGATGGATGGCGTCACAGATGGACTTCAGGTAGCGCTGCTTGGGCAGATGAGACAGCAGAGTCTTCACGCTGCTGTTGAACAGCTCATCATTGTCAAACTAGAAAGAAAAAAAAAATTAGAAAAGAACTTCCTGGCTACACGACACCACAGCATGCGCTAACATTCACAGAAGTCAAACACGGCTAGGCGGCGCTTTGAAGAGTGAAAACTCACTAAGTGCCTTTCGCTACGAGTCGAACGGTAACTGAACCTAACAGGAACAGTACCACTGATGGGTTGGTCACAATGAATGGGCTTTTTCTTTTCGTAGCCTTGAAGTATATTTTTGCATGTCGGCCGTAGCCGAGGAGCGAAGCAGTGGGTTCACAGACCTCCTCGGTTCCTTGTGTGACTCGGACTAATTTGCCGTGTTTGAAACAGGCCTCTCCTGCAGGTCAGCCTGGTTCCACACACACACACTGTGATGATGTGTCTTATTCACTTTGACACGTACAGTCAGGTGTTGACATTATACAGTATGGGACCCTTAAGACCCTTGGGGGGGGTCCAGTCATATACCAGAACACGCTTCAGTGTTTCTCCACGGTGTAATTAAAGTCATTTTGAAGTGAACGCAGGTTTTTATGGCTAGTCTCAGACATCGGAATGTGAATATTAACACCTCCTAAGTGTGTGTTTTGTTAACCATATTGCGTGTCTGTCACAAATAGGAGCCTTTTTTTTAATTTTTTTTTTCCTAAGAGTGAAAGTTGGAGCGTCTAACAGACCGCGGTGTTCCCTCGCTCCAGGCCACTGCAGTCAGGACTGTGAGGAAGGAGACGGGATCCCCTCTTCCTGTCTGGAGTCCTGAACTGGGTTTTTTCCACTTCCCCTCTCTTCTCATAATGAAACCCCTTTTTATGAACTCAATGTACAATGTTCTGGAACAGAGAAGTAAGAGACCGACCTCCAGAGACAGGAAGTTGATCAGCGTTTCCCTTTGTAGGTCCACCTGTAAGACAAACAAACAGTCACAGCAGTTGACAATGGAGCGGCAGGTTATAAAACAATATTATGATAGTAAAAAAAAAAAAAGAAAAAAGAAAATATTGTTTTTTAGCACATTAGGGACGCACCCGCTACTTCATTAAAACACTCGTACTCCAAACGTGCCAATCCAGGGGCCGATACTCCATAACGACTTTTCGCCATAACCAGCTGCGTATTTAGTCGATGTTTTGTGTTCTACTGCAGTTCAGCGTCACACTTCTTCAGTCTTCAGCAGTACGGAGGTACTTTTATATCACCACGACGACAGGAGCAAAAACTGAAATCAACTGGTGTAAAAGCTCTGCTCACTTTCTGTACACATGGCTTAAATTTATTTAACTTTAATTTTTTTTCCTTTGCACTGATATATTGTCTAATGTAGACTTCTGCAAATTATGGCCCATGGCCCAGTTACGGTACGCACACTAGATGGCGACAGACATCAAATAAAAATGTATTCTTATACAATTTATTTCAATTATTTGGCCCAGCATTCTACACACCAACCAATACTGGACTGACCCGCCAGTCGGATTTCGAACCTCATTTTGGCTCAAGGGCATTCCGATCGAAAGTAACCTTCTGTTGACGGGTAGAAAATAAAAACGGCTGTAAGCTTGGTGTCCAAACTGTGGTTTGGGTTCAGCTTCTGCACGAACCAACCAATCAACTATTTTACCACTGCCTTCCAGTTCATTGCATATCTATTAATACCTGAGCTAAAGAAGTATCTGTATAGTACTAGGTTCGATCCAAATACGTTCTTTTTACTTTTGTACTTTTGCCATATATTCAGAACATCTCACACCCAAGAAGCTTAACTCAAGCTACAGTAGTTAATTATCAAACTAAACAAAAACACTTGTGTAAAGGTTAAGTCCGTGTAAGCCGAACAACATAATCCCACGTCATCACAGGAAGTGCCCGATTCACACTGGAACATTTCATTCACTACGTCCTTATAAATATCCACCGTCGCGTACATGACCGACCGAGGTTACGTAATCCTCGCGACACGAGGAAATCGGGGCCAAAACACAACCTTTAAATCCACTTTCGCAACACTCTCAAGTCGGATCAAAAGAACTTCACGTCCAGGCAGGGACTTAATATGGTTCCGGGTTTAATGGTTCTGGGAACCGACGAACAGCACCACCTGCTGGCTGGTATGAAGGTGATTAGGCCTGAGTTCACGGCTCTGATTGACTTTGGCTCCGCTGATGTTCTCCAGACCCCGACACAGACGACACGTTGATTTGGAACACGCAGCAGTGTATGGTAAAGGCATTATTCACTCTAGCACTCCGTGTGGACGTACTGTGTAACTACAGCGTGAGCACAAACAAACGCAATACAGCGTACAACGTTTGTGTACCTCAAATATGTCACACTTCTGCAACTGCAATGAATTCGCAAGTCATCTAACCTCCAGTGAGCAAGGGCATAAGGGCGGGAGACGGGGGAGACGGGGGAGACGAGGGGAGGCTTAAGCAAAAAGGCAAATAATGATATAGTCACTGGACCCAGTGATGTTTACTGTTGCAGCCCATCAAAACGCTTTACTCACTCTGTGATTTCACACATGGATGCGAGAGATAAGGTGAGGGGGAAATGAGGGAGGCGGGCTGGGGAGGGACAGAGGGTAAACAAACGAATGACTTACCGCCAGAACCTCGATGTCGTTGCTCTTGTTCTGCAAGTTGTTACCAAGATTTTGTAATCTGGTTTGGATCTAAGAAAGGAGAGGGGGGGAGAGAGAGAGAAAGAAAGGGAGAGAGAGAGGGAGGGAGAGAGAGAGAGAGAGAGAGAGAGACCCCGTCAGTCCCACACATTCACATCCAGGCTCTGCTCCTGTCACGCCTCTAAAGCACTAAGTCAAAGCTTCACTGTTCATTTTAGTTTCATTAGTTTTACTTCATGCGATCAGTCACTGCGCTCGTCCATGAACTGCTCTTCATTATCTCCTGGAATTCGGGGAAAAAAAAAAAAAAAAAAAAAATCTACTTTACTCTATTTCTATCTATCCCTGGCTGAGATGAAGCCACATTAAAAGTCTCGGACCATTCATACGCATGAACCGCCCGACTCGACAGTGTGAGAACTGAGTCAGAGTTAAGGAGACGTACACAAACAAAAAACAAAACAAGGAAGACGAGATTATTAAGTCTCAAATTTTTTTGTCATTTTCAGTGAAACCAGACATGAGGAGGATTCCCAAACACTCAAACACTGACCTGGTCCTCCAATGAAATTATAGTTTAGTCCATCATTATTTGAGTTTGTGACCCCTGGTCTGGGACATGTATTTAGTTTATGTGACGCATGTGTGAGTGTGTGTACCTGCGTCTCATAGCGTCTTCTAGCATTGGCAGAAAGCTTATCAGGGCTGATGAGGTTCACGTTCATGTTCATGGTGACGCTGCCGCCATGCTGCTCTGAACAACCTGGAAGAAATAAATAAATAAATAGAGTGAGTGTGAGTCCAGCTACTGATACAGTTTAAATAGCTTTATTAACTAAAGCGAATACGTCAAACATATGGCCCGTGGGCCAAATACGGCCCACATGTTTTGACGCCCCCCCCCCCCCCTCCCTCAGACCCACATACTATTAAGAACCTGATAACATGTATATTTTTAACTGTACAAACCACTGTAGGAGCTGCTGCCCCCTAGTGACTGGAGGCTCGTTATCATTCAAGCATTACTGCAGTGGTACACTGATGACCAGGGGGCCATATTCCATTGGAAGCCCATCACGCCCCCGCCCCACTATTTGAGAAATACTGGCTTAGGGTATGAATGTCTTAAAATAAAAGTCTACGGTGAGGAGTTTTTTCCACATTTTGATGGATGGGTTAAATTCAGAGGTGAAATTCCAGCCACAGGCACGGCGAGGAATTCACAATATTTCATTTTTAGATTACGATTTTGCTCAATATTATTAGTTTTAATTTCATTCTTCACTTGTTTTATAAATAAAGACTGAAATTCTGTGATTACATCACGAGGAATGGACCAGAGCCCAACACCGTGACAACACCGTGACAACACCGTGACAACACCTTGACAACACCTTGACAACACCTTGACAACAGTGTTGACTGATTTTGTGACTTTACAGCTGTGACAGGCAGTTGAGGTTACGGAGAGACTCCAAACTTCACTTTTAGTCACAAACAGTTGTTTGTCTCTATATTTGTCCGTGTGACGAAAGTCTGACATTTTCAGCGTGAACTCCACCTTCGGGCCGGCGTCTGCTGCTGCTGCTGACTCCAACTTCAGCAGGATGAAGTCGCACAAGATGAATGAACGCACTGTCTCCTCAGACTTACTGTAACTGTTTATTTTATTATTTTTTTATTTTATTTTTCCTAAAGCCGGCAGCAGCTGTAGCCAGTTAACGCTGTCTGTGTCACAGTGGGTGCGACTCCGACGCTCCAGTGTGTCGGGCTCTTTGTCATTTTCAGTTTGTTCTGCTCAACTGGGCTCAGTCGTGATTTCTGACGATATCACATTCATTAACCTTGGTGGAGTCACCGCCGGGTTGTACGGACACAGACACAGTGGAACTGTTGACCGGCGGCTTTAAACCGTCTAATATACGAGACGCACTCTCAGGCGTGACGCTGTTAATCAGACGTGGAGTTGAACACAGTTACCTGTGGTGTTGAGCTGCGATCCTTTGGGGTTCTGAGACAGGCTTTCAGGGATTTCTCTGCGGAGGCACAAGGGGCAGCATTCACACAAACGACCTTGTTGACCTCGTACACAAACATGTGAACTTAAAAAAAACAAAAAGTATTCACCTCATGTTCCGCTCTTCAAAATACTTGGTCCGACACTTTTGAAAGATGTGGTCCACCAGGTCCGACTCGGGAATCCGCTTCTCCGACTGTCTGTCTCTTTCAAAAGATTTCACCTGAAAATGTAAAAAAAAAAAAAAAAAATTTTTAAAATGATTTTCACCATTTGTGCTCATCGGTTCGTTGCCACTCGTGCCGTGATTCAAAGCGACTTCACCTTCACGTAGTTCCCCTCTTTGTCAGAGACCAGGACTATGCAGGTGATTCCAGCCACTTTGCAATGGTCCAGCAATGTTTCCTGAGACTTCACACACAACACGAGAAGAAAAAAAAAAAATAAATAAAAAGTTAAATTACCCACACAAGGACGGTAATGACTCACTGAACACATTAATCATTCACTGGAGTCGAACGGCAAAGTTTCCTGATTTGACTTGTGAGACCTTTCGGCTGCTAAACAAAGCAGTTTAATGAGTGACGTGACAACAGTCCAAACCACGGGATTTTTAAAAGCCAAGCTTCAGAGCTGTGGACTTCAGGATATGACAGTTCCAAAAAGCTGGGAAGAAAATTAGACTGAAATAATGTGAAAATGAAGCTAATTTCACTTCTTTTTTTAATATATTCAGGTATGTTGTAGTGAGTTTGGGTTGGAGCCTTTTCTGTGTGCTGTGTTTTGGGACTTCTACCGTTATGTTGTTTCAGTATTTTTTTTTTTTGACTCCTCGGCAAATATGCACCGTGTGTGTGTGTGTGAGAGAGACTCCACATTAACATGAAAACCTTAAGACTTCCTTTTTCTCAATGACAATTCAGCGCCTTGAAGGCAACAGGCGGCTCCGTGCTGCGAGCCTCTGCTGGCCACATGTGGTATAGGTTTAGCCATATTTGGCTAATAAAGGCTAAACGAGTGGAACAGTCTCCTGAGGACGGACTAAAGCTGCGGATCTGGTCTATTTGTCGCCACATGTAAAAGGTATGTATGTATACACATATGCACATATATGTATACACATATGTATACACATATATACATATATGTATACATATATACACATATGTATACATATATGTATACATATATACACATATACACATATGTATACATATTTACACATATATACACATATATACATATATGTATACATGTATACACATATGTATACACATATATACATATATGTATACATGTATACACATATGTATACACATATATACATATATGTATACATATATACAAATATATGAATACATATATACACATATACACATATGTATACATATTTACACATATATACACATATATACATACATGTATACATATATACACATATGTATACATATATGTATACATATATACACATATGTATACATATACATATATGTGTATATGTGTATATATGAGAGAATGTATATCATTCAGTAACACACAATGACATTTAATGACAATTGCCTTACACTGAGTATTTACATTAAAACGACTGTCGCTTACACACACACACACACACCTGTGAAACGTCGTAAGCGATGTCAGCAGAGATGCCGGTGCTCCACAGCTTCTGGACGACGCTGATGGCTCTGGACATGGAGGAATGACACACTGGGACCACCAGGACATCACAGGAGCTGACGGTCACCTGAGTCCAGACAGGGACAGACCGTTCAAAGACCAGTTTTATAAAAGGCTCGAAGAAAACAGACGTGAGTCCTGTGTTTCTACAGCGTATGAAGGTTTTCTCGGATGAAAAAAAAATCTTGAAATCCTCAAACGTATGATGATGATGATGATGTGCTTCCATAAATACCACCGTGGCGTCAAGTGTCCCCGTGATCATAGTTATTAACAGGGTTCTAAAAGTGGCAGAGTGGCGCCCCCCCCCCCCCCACCGCTGTAATGAGGCATCATTAAATATAAAACTCGTGTCTGCTGCTGATTTATTACAATAATCAGGGACGTCAGGTGATGCGTGTGTGTGTGCGTGGCTCACTTGTTCCTCCATGTTAGACAGAGCAGCACACACTTTGTCCAGAGCCAGGCTGGCCCCCACAGCCGAGGGCGTGGAGGACGGCCCCCTGAACTCCATTATCTGAGAGAACAAACCACAGAAGACGTGTGAAGACGTGTGAAAAAGTTACGTAACGGAGGAAAATCTTCGCGGCTGTGTTTTCAACGGGTAGAAATTCTAGAAATGACAACGTTCACAGACGAAGTCCAATAAATCATCAGATTGAATTTTCAACACATAGACAGATAAATACACACTGCTTGAACACACTCGACACAAACGCGGTCATTTACACAGCCTGTGGGAAAGTTTTCATTTCACCAAAACACAATGTTTAAATCACCATCTCAGTGCCCTCTATCGATTGTGAAGGTATTTTTGCATTCATTTATTAGTCTTTACATTTTTCCATAATAATAATTCCATCTTTTGGATCAAAATTCTCAATCCTTTGACGGACATTGTTAAGTCTTTACATTTTTCCATAATAATAATTAAATTAAATTCATAAATCATAGCATACGCCGATGACGAACGTTAGTCTTGCCCACAACAACGGCATATCCGCAATCCGGCCTGCGACTGGATTCCAAAATAAACATCAAATAATAATAAATATAATAAAAATAAATACATTTGTACTATATTGATCCCATATTTGGGAAAATTATAGTTATGTTAGCAGCAGATATGCTGTTAAAAGGCTGCCCCCAGCAAGCACCAAGCATGTGGTTCCTCTGGGAATCGAACCCAGGACTCTCTGCTCTCTGCTTCCGAGGCAGGTGTGGTAAACGCTACACAATGGAACCGACTGTTAGACAAAAATGTATTCGATTTGAACGTATAGAACTTACCAAGTGGTCATAGCGCCCTCCAGCTGCCAAAATATCCGGTACCGTTCGCTTGCGTTTCTTTATGAAAGCTACAAATTGGAAGATGATGCCTGAGTGGTGCTGCACCTTGTAGACTAAACCCAAGTTGACCACCACCTGGAGAAGAACGGCCCTCAATCAGAAAGGAGGAAAATAAGAAAAACTGACGCTGGTTTTGAACGCTCGTTCGCTCACCTGCAGCTTGACTCCCAGTCTGCACAGGTGCACCGTGACCTCCTCCAGGTCCTTGAGGCCCTGCTTGGCCAGCTGAGTGACGGCGGTCTTGTGTTTTGTGAGCGGTGTCAGCTGTGGAACCAGGTCCTGCAGGTTCCCCTTCAGTTCTATGTACTTGTACACTGTGTGCAACTGGGCACAGGGGGAGCAGTGGGGAGAGGTCAGGGGTCATGACGGGGGTTTGTACGCACAATAACGCAAGACTAAACATTTTCACACCCAGAGGACACGTACGCTGTTGGCTGACAGTGATAGGTTGCAGAACTTTGCCTCCACTTCACGCTTGGTCTGCTTCTCGCTCTACGGTGGATACGGAGGAGAAAGGAAAAGGCAAAGGAAGTGATGCATGACCATATAAGGGAAAAAAAAAAAAACACTGTGAAAATGTTGAAAAACAAGAGATAAAAAAATATATAAAAATGACATCTGTGAAGCAGATGTGACCTGGACTCACCATGGCATCACACAGGATGTTGGACACCTGGCTCAGTTTGTCTTCGGGGACTCCGCTGTGGAGCAGGACGGCCTTCAGCAGGCTGGTGTGGTTCAGGTAGATGTTATAGTTCCTTTCCTGTGGTCACAAGCCACACACACACACACACACACACACACACACACACAACCATTAACCATCCCAGCTGTAATGACTGAGCCTCAGTGTTAATGTGGGCGGTTCTCTCATTCGGCTCGACTCTTCAAAACATTCACAACAAAAAGACCCCATCACAGAGTAGAGCAGGCGTGGGCAAACTAAGGCCCGGGGGCCGGAGGTGGCCCCGTTTAGCTTTTCAATCCGGACCGCCAAACTTTTCCAAATTATACAATTTATTTCTATTATCATTATCACTTCTGCCTTTTCTCTGCAATACCCACCTTTCACCAATAGGTGGCGTGGAAAATGATAAAAGCATATTAGCATTTTAACCTTTAAGCATGACTTTTACATTTACTATCTGCTCCTGCCCCCATCTCCCCCCCCGCCCCCGGTTCAATTTTAGGGCAATTGTGGCCAAGGAGTCAAAAACTTTGCCCACGCCTGGTGTAGAGCATGTGTCAAACCTGAGGCCCGTGGGCCGAAGCCGGCCTGCCAACTCATTTTATGTGGCCCGGCAGAGAACTCACGTGTGGCCGTATTGAGTTTCTACCAGAGGTGGGACCAAGTCATTGCTTTGCAAGTCACAAGCAGGTCTCAAGTCTTTGCACTCAAGTCCGAATCAAGTCTCAAGTCCAAATAGGCAAAGTCCGAGTCGAATCCAAGTCAAGACTGAAAGGTGTCAAGTCAAGTCCCAAGTCCTGCCGTTTCTGTTTCGAGTCCTTCCACTCACTGACACTCGTTTTTTGTTGACCATATCGTAGTTTTTAAATCCGAACAACACGATCTTTGGTACCATTTTCTCTAACCCGCGCATTGTTCGACAGCTCTTTCTCATTGGTTGTCCCCGCAATTTGTTTGGCTCGATATTATTGCGTCAAAACAACGTGGGTCTAATTTGATTGGATGTTGTGCCGACAGCACATACACACACAGACGCACACACAATGACAGATACACAGCGCTCCTTAATAACTTATTTTATAATCTTTGTGTTTTGGAGAAAGTATCAAGTCTTGTCGAGTCAAAGGGCTCGAGTCCAAGTGAAGTCACGAGTCATTGATGTTAAAGTCCAAGTCGAGTTCCAAGTCTCTTTACATTTTGTCGAGTCGAGTCTAAAGTCATCAAATTGATGACTTGAGTCTGACTCGAGTCCAAGTCATGAGACTCGAGTCCACACCTCTGGTTTCTACTGATGTTCGGTGAAAACTGAGTTCAAATCTTCTGTGTCTGTAATAAACGTGTGGTGATTGAATTTATTTATATGTTTTATTGAGGACCTGTGTTTTTAATTTCGGCCCCTTTGGGTGATGCATTTTGACACCCCGGGTGTAGAGGGTCAACGTGGCATGAACTTGAGAGCAGATCTTTGGTCTGGGGTTCCCAAAAGTAAGGGGCTGGCCCTCTTAGGGGACACCCAGCTACTACTCGGGGGCCGCAGCAGGTCAAATGAATTTCATAATGTATTTCCTTTAATTTTATAGGGTTCAACAATAGTCCTAATTACACAAGAGGGGCACGACAGAGAAGTGTTGGGAACCACTGTACTGTCCTAGGTCGACAGGGTTCATGCGACATGCCGAGGGGAAATGTGGAAAGGAAATGGAACAAAGTCAAGCAGAGAGGGAGGAAGTGTAGAGAGCAGCACACAACATAGTTTCCATGGGAAAACAAATAGATTGTAAATCCGTCAGTGACACTCATACTTAGGCACGTTAGGAATGTGAGTGGGAAGAACAGGAAACAGGAAAAAAAACAACAGGTTGCGATGAAGGCGCGTGACGGTGGGAAATCAACGAACAATGATGCAGCCAGCCGCGAACGCACTGTTCTGAGACGGAGCAGCGGTAGCGGCGGCGGCAGCGGCAGCGGCGGCTGGCTGCATCATCTGAAACACAGACGCTCTCGCATGTGGTCGTGACCTGGAGCGCGGGGAATTCCTGGACTATTTCAGAGATGGTGTAAATGGTCTCGGCATCAGGGAGCAGGCTGTTGGTGACGGGGGTGATGATGTCAAAGGCGCACTCCAGGAGCTCCCGCGGGTGGGCGCGATCCAGCTTCCTGGGGCGGAACACGCGCTCGATGCTGTACCTACAGTGGGAGGGAACACACACAGAGAGAGGAAACATAGATCATTCACCTTAAAAAAATTTTTGAAAAATAAATTAAAAAATAATGAATGATTATCAAAAGTCAATGCAAAGTTAAATTAAAAATAGTTTTTGTGGCAAATATGAGCTTTTGTGAGTTTAACAGTTCATTCAGGTCAGACTTGGTTAAATACCTCACATCTAGACTCCATGAAAAGACATTATTACTCATAACTAAAACATGGTATTTCAGATTTACTTTGATTCTGTTGCCGGAACAGATCTTTTTCAGGCTGGTTTCAAGGTATTTATGTAATAAAATACCAAACTGGTTTATGAAGTGACTTCATCAAAAAATGAATGGTTTGACAATGTTTTGGTTTGTTTTTTCAATTTCTAGACACTTCTGGTGATCCCATTTAAATTCTAGTCGACCACATGTGGGGTCTCGACCCCAAGGTTGAAAAACACTGCTCTAAACCTATACGTCATAGCAGATCTCACTACTGTCCTACAAACCTGACCCTCCAACTTTCCTGCTCTTCTTCTGTAACACATCACTCCTGACACTCGTCTCCATCCTTTCATCACCGCCTTCCCTCGTTTGTCCACTGTCTATTGCCCCTAGTGGTGGTTACCTGTACTTAACCAACACCCTGCAGCAGTTGAACTCGGTTTCTTAGACTTGATACATTTCACAATAAGTGTTTTTTTTTCCTTCCATCATTAATGATGGCATTTGAAGTATTTCTGCAGTTGCAGTACTGAGGAGTAAATACTGCAGTAACGGTGTAGTAATGGTTTTACCTCTTCAGGTGGCTTACGTTGTTGCGGGCGACGAATCTGGCAAACGGCATCTGAGGAGAAGGGGAGATGCTCAATGTACACACGTGTGTGATGACAGTGAGATGGCCGCGCGGCGGCCTGACGTCAATCACCCGTGTGGAAACAGTCACTCAGCCGCCGTGGTTTCCTGAGGTCGCGGGATCTGATTGCTGCGTTCGCGAGTGCTGATGCAAACACTCAAGTAATTAGCGTTCACACTGCAAGCGTGGACATGTCTACACTGTGTGTGTATATGTGTGTTTCATGTGTGTGTGTGTGTGTGGGGGGGGGCTCACACGAAGGTCATAGGGCAAAGTAATCAGCATTCCGCTGTGGTCCATGAAGCAGGCCAGCTCGCTGCCGTCGTACAACTTCCTGTTCCTGGGGAGGAGCAGCGGCGTCTGGAGACGCACGGCACCTGAAGGCAAACACCGTGCATCAGTGCAACATCTGCAGGAGATGGTTCTAAAACCTCGTCGACGGAGCTGATAGCGAGCGCTGACGGACGGTTGAAACGGCGCAGCTGGACGCCGTCGGCAGTGTGCGTAAAAACAGCGACACACACCTGCGCGGAATCAACGCCGACCAACAGTGTGTGTATTGTTCAACGGCCGCTCACCGCAGCTGATGTTGAAAAAAAAACGTCACAAGTCCAAGTGGTTTGAATGAGAGAGTAAACATGAGCTCTCGTTCTTACACTCACACACACACACTCACACTCACACACACACTCACACACACACTCACCGTGCTTCTTGAAAATCCTGGTGATTGTTTCGTACACATGTTGCTGCAATTTAGCAGCGTGGAAGTTGAAGCTGCCCTGGAGGGAAACCAAACAAACAGCCTCTGTTAGCCATCACTGCACATCGATTAAACACAAACAGACCTGGGAATGTGAAGAAGGGGCGTGGGGGGGGGGGGGTGGGGGAGGACTGACGAGGAGGATTAGTGTGTCTGCAGTGACACCTACAGGCAATAGGAGGGAAAGAAATATCTCAGTTCTCTGATAATTACAACAATGACAGGAATTATTTAGATTATTAATGACTCAGAAAAAATCTGTGTTGTGTGTCACATCATTGAAGAATTTATTATATATTTATTTATTATATTATATTATTATTTTTTTATTATATTTAAATGTATCAATCAGTAGTTTTGATTCTATAACTGAACATATAATAAACATATGTTACATAATACATAATAAAAACAATCAAAGTGTTATTTAGATGCTGGATTGACAGGGGAAATAAATAGAATTAAAAAGAATTATATCAAACATACAGACCCCAGTATCTGTTCAAGTCATGCTAAAAATGTGGAAGAGAATGACCGACAAAATCGGTCATTTTCTCAACAAAATACTGGAGAACAACAGTTTGATTTGTATAGTTAATTGCTGATCATAGTTGTGAGAAAATATCGATACACAGAAATATCGCAATATTTCATTTTACGATATTGTTCTTTTTTTTTTATCAATAATTAACATGCAAATATTCACTGCTTTGGTTCATTTTATTGTGGACAGTTTTCCTACAATTAAATTGTTCGAGAAAGTCTCGATATATCGTTGTGCCTATAGCCTCGCAATATATCGCAATACATCGTATCGCTGCTTCTGTATCACGATACGTATCTTATCGCCAGATTCTTGCCAACACACACCCCCATCGCTGATTGCTAACTTTCAGTCTCGTTCGACTCAGACCGACGCCGTACCTTATGTAGGTCAATGTCGTAGGTGTAATCCATCACTGGCGTGAGGTTCTGGGCGAAAAGCTGTCCCACCATGGTGCGGTACGCCTTGCCGTTGACGTTGGCCATGGTGTGCTGCAGCACCTCGTGCAGCTCCGACTCCTCCATCTGAGGCGGAGGCAGCAGCTCGCTCTTCAGCAGCTCCTGCGTGGTGGGCCGTAAGGCTGGGTCGTGGTTCAACAACCACTGTATCACCTTTCTCTGAGGGACACAAATGAAATGAACTCTGCTTTTTGACTGTGACTGTGACGTGCAGCAGTGGTTTATACCTGTGTTCCCTGTTCGTATGAACTGAAGTCCTCAGGGAAGACGATGGGCTCCTTCAAAACGAAAAGACACGACGTGAGCAAAAACACAGCATCAGAACCAGACAAGTTACTGCGTCGGGTCAGTACTGGACGTACCTCGCGTAATTGGCTCAGGACGGTGATGCGCTCGGACCCCGTGGTCATGGGTCTGTAGGACATCTCGAAGAGGATGATTCCCAGGCTGAAGAGGTCGACTTTCTGAGGACAAAACGATCAACGAGAATATCAGTGGAAAACAACGGTAACGTTGGCAGTTCTATGATAAACCAGCAGAATATAACAAAACTGAGATAAGAGTGAAAGTAAAAGTACGTGATAACTAGGGATATCGGCTGACCAATAATATTGGCCGACTAATATTATTGGACCGATATAAGCATAATTATGCAATATCGGTAAAAATTGTTATCGTTTTTTGTTATCGTGTTTCCTTCAATTATGAAAACAGATGACGCAACGCCTGGGTTTTGTCAAATATGTTGGAGTCTCTTGTAGGATCCTGAGACGTTAACCACTGTTTTGGGGGCAAACGGGTGCATATATCGGTAGCGGTTTATACTGGAATCGGAAATGAACTGTTTCGACAATATCGACGTATCGGATATCAGTAAAAGGTTGATATCGGACATCCCTGAAGATAAACAACGTTTATCTCGAGAAAAAAATGTCATGTCACTGCTAATGGTAACATATAAAAATAACATCTGGCTGTTATGAACTCATTCCGAATTGACAAGTCATATAGTTGTGATTAAATTAAATGTAAATAAAACTGAATTTATTTTACGGCACTTTAGACCAGTGATCATCAACTGGTGGCTTGTAGGACCAAATCCAGCCCACAAAACTGTCTCATCTGGCCCACAACTGGATCCCAAAATAAACAGAAATATTCTAGGGGTGTGTATTAGCAAGAATCGGACGATACGATACTTTTTTTTTGCAATATATTGCGATATATTGCAATATATTGTGATACTAAAGGCACAACGTATATTGTGTTACAAACATTGGAGCAGAGGGATATCTACATGTGTAATCACTGAAAGAAATAGAAATAATAAGAAAAAAGAAATAACAGCAAAATAAAATGAACCAACGCCAGGAATATTTGAATGTTAATTGTTGTGAAAAACAACAAAAAAAAATTCCGCTATGGAATATAGAAAATGAACCAACGCCATGAATATTTGAATGTTAATTGTTGCGAAAAAATACGATGTACCGCTATGGAATATAGATGTTATTATGAAATGAAATATTGCAATATTTCACTGTATCAATATTTTCTTACACCCCTAAAATATTCTGGCTCGCCAACAGATATAGCTGGAGTCTATATGTTGTTTATATGTTTTTTGCCTTGTGACATTTCTCTTGTTTCAACACAACATAGATCTGTAGAGTCTAGAGTTCTTACTTGGTTATACGTGGCTTTGGTGTTTCCTTGAACCTCTGGGCTGACGTACAGGGCCGTGCCCACCATTCCTGTCATGTTACCTGGAGACGTGTATGTGATATTTGTATGTCAGACATCAATAACAGTCATAGTTATTTTTATGTCAATAAAAGTTTTCCACTTCTGCACCTGTTGGGTCGGCTTTGGACAACACCACAGAGCCGCTCTCCTCTACTTCAACTTTACCTGCAGCCTAAAAGACAGGAACAGTTACAGCTATAGATCACATCTTCATAAAGCATGGGTGTCGTACATATGGCTGGCGGGCCAAAACCGGCCCACTAGGGTGTTCAATCTGGCCCACTTGATGAATTTTGAAAATAAAAAATATGTTTCGTAAAATTATTATCATGTCATTAAACATGAATAAATAATAAAGACAAATCAGGGAAAGGGAAAATATGGACTTATTAATTTATAATTTATCATGTTATGATTGTACTGGTCCGGCCCACGTGACTAATTAAGAGTTGTACGCGGCCTGTGAACCAAAATTAGTTTGACACACTTAGTATAAAACATTAAAAAAGCACAAAAAAAAAGTAACAGCATTTTAATGGTTTCCAAACATTCTTTACATTTCTGGAATTCTACAGCATTAGCTTATGATGCAGCTTGCTAGCATTAGCGGAGACCTGTCAAGCCCATACCACATTAGCAGGGTGGTCAGTAGCCAGGCCAAAATCTCCAATTTTCACATGGTCCTGGGAGTCGAGGAAGATATTGACAGGTTTCAAGTCCCGATGAATCATTCCCTTTTGTGGGAAAAAAAAAAAAAAGCTAATTAATGTCGTTAGCGACCACATTTGTGACATCATATGTGCTAATCCTGTAGCGCACCTGCTCATGGATATATGCGAGGCCGTCCAGTATCTCTCGGAAAAGTCTCCACAACCGGTTCTGGTCCTGGTGCAGGCTGTGGTCTATGGTGTCTCGTAAAGTGCTTTTTTCACAGTATTCCATCTGTGGTGACGGAGAAATTACAATATGAATATGTAGTGCAGAGCCCTCTAGTGGTAGAAAAAACTACATGCGATACAATGCTCAAGCTGGTTTACTTGAATGTACAAGTAGTGCGCGATGAGCTGAGGGCGGTCCACGTCTGTACTCTCTGTGGTGTCCAACGTCGGCCTTTTGCTCGGCTCCAGCTGTGTTGACGCAGAGTTTTACGTCACTTTCTAATTAACCTTTAATTACTACATCTAATCACTGAAAGGCAGATAAAGACGGTAACAGAGTACGAGGGATAAAGTCCTGAAGATGGTTCAGCTTTATGCTCTACAGACATATTACCAGGGCCAAACATCCTCTAGTGGTTAGCAACCTCTAGTGGTGAAGTTCCACACTGTTTTTATTTGCTTAACATTCACATCAAACACAACAATTGGATCCCAAAAAAAAACCCACAAATATTATTCAACAACATTGTAAGTCATCGGTGTCAAACATAAGGCTCGTGGGGCAAAACGGGGCCGCTAGAGTGATCAATCTGGTCCACTTTTGAAATTTTGAATAGAAAAAAAAAATAGACAGAGGCAAGGCAAATTACTGTTATATTCTGTCCTTCACACTAACAACAACACCATTAGTTACAACAAAAATCTCAAAAAAGGAAACAACGTTCAAACCTGCGACACCTCATCGATGCTCTCGTCACCATTGTCAAAGATGATGTCACTCTCCGAATCGCTTTCTGAAGGTCTAAAATGCAAAAAAAAAAAAACATTCTGCGCTGCACCGACTGACAACTTTTCAACATTTTTGGCGGAAAAATGTTTGTTAAAATTACTTACAAAAAAGAGGCACCAAAAACATCGTCTTCATCGTCATCGTCGTCCTCGTCATCGCTAGACTGCTGTCCTCCAGGACACCTGGCACTGGAGGACTTCTCTATGGAAGTCGACCACTCCACCGAGCTGGACAGTGCTGGAGGCGGAGCAACGTCCTCCACGTTATCGGGGAGGCCGAGTTCATTGAGGCGCTTCGGCGGCTCTCTGCCCAGGGGGAGATTGTCGGGTGAGGTTAGGGGCTCCGAGCTGTCGGAGTTGCTCAGCACCGCAGCAGAGGGCGTCTCGTGGCGCTCGATCCATGCATTGTAGTAGCGGACAATGTTCTCGTGGTTGAGGCGCGACAGCAACGTCACCTCGCCTTTAATCCGCCTGAACTGTTTGCTTGCAGGGTTGACCTGGATGCGTTTCACAGCGTAGTAACAACCGTCTAGTTTATTCTGAACCTGGGAAAGAAAAAAAAACAAAACAAAGGCAGACGTAAGAGGTATGCACACTGCAGCCCGCCATCTACTGACAGTTTAACGTCATCACAGCACATCTCTACTGTAAGTAGGCGAGGTACCTTAATCACTGCACCAAAGGCTCCCTTTCCAAGAAGCTGAAGTTCCTCGAACTCGTTAAAGTAACGAGAAAACTGCCTTTGAACACCGGTGCTGAATGGAGCGTTGAGGATGTGACTCTGTGGGAGGACAGAGGACGCAAAGTCCTCAGCCAGATCTGAAGACAAAGATGGAAAATTTAATTAAATACAGTGATCACTCTCCTATTGTGGTAGTTGTGTTCCAAGTCCCACCGCTAAACGGGAAAAATCACAAAGTAGAGGCGAGCTAATTATTATATTATTTACATATACTGTATATTTACCCCAAACTGTTATCAACCCCCTCTAGACTGTATCACCATTTCTTACAGAGTAGAGTTGTAGAATGGCGACGCAAAGCGAAGTGAACGAGTCGTCGACCGACAGACAGGGGGAGATGCTGAGAGACGCTACGATGCATGAGCCAATCAGGGTGAGGAACAGAAAAGCATGCTCAATTAGCCGATAGTACATAGATTACGCATTGTATTAGCCAATAGTACGCTGTCTACGATCACGTCTAGTAAACAAAGCTACCAGCGAATGTTCGCAAATGCGCTAATCTCAATTTCAAAACGAGAATCCACATTTTTAAAGCCAAAACTTTTGTATCTATAATTATTTCATAATGTCTTTTATTTAATATTTTGCGAGATCGGATTAAGAAAAAAATCTGCGATGTACTGAGTGAGCGAAAGGAGAATCGCGATGTAGGGAGGGAACACTATAAACTACAGCATTTTATATAAAAAATATATATGAATATATATTTCATATATGTTATATATTTGTAGATATGTATAAATATATGTTTTATGTGCTATATATTTGTAGATGTGTATAAATATATGTAAATATATATATATAAAGTATGAAATATATATATGAAATATATACATAGTGGCTAAATATAATATATATAATATATGGCCATATATGTCATGGCAAGCAGCAGAGTGGTAGTAAATGAGAAAATGAGAAGTGCTCCTATATTAGGAAATATATGCACGGACTTTTGTATTTCGACGCTCACACTAAAGCTTTGTCAACGTGAAATATAACCCACGGCTTTATCGCGAAACCTCGAGAAATTTGTCATTTTCTTAAAGACTATTGACATTTCGGTCGGTGAACGTACAAATAACTTCAAACCTAAACGTTCTTTGACAACACAATAAATACCAAACATCAAATCAAAACATCTGTAAGTTGAAGAATAACCTGCCGTTCATTCTTAGTCAGATAAGGTAGAAACCAGATGTTTGGTTTTCTTTTTTAGATTTTAACATCTGTAAACTGTCACCTTCTGGGCTGGCATCTTGGTACTGAGGCAGGTTTCTGGGTGATGGAGGTTTGAGGAAGGAGTGATCCAACAGCTGCTGGGGTGTCCAGCGCTCGGAGTCATTGATGCACACACACCTGTGGGAAAAAAAAGAAGAGACACTCAGGTAAAAATAACAACACATCAAATGCTCAGGTAACCCCAAAGGTTAAGTAGTTGAAACTAAACTCCTGGAAAACTTCAGCCAACATTAATTTCCCAAAGGGAAACTCTCGAGGGTTTCAACTTTGCGAAAGAGTTTTGGAAAGTACTCACTGTAACAATTATTAAAACAATCGCTAGTCAATATGTACTAGTATAATAGTATTATGACTTTGGTTTTCAAACACCATTTTTTAATGTAAAAAATTGTGTTAGAATTACATTTTCAGATGTGAAATAAATAGTTTAGCTTTTCGTAAATTAAAAGCAAAAACTCTGTGGCTTTAGCTTTCAGGACACTTCATCATATTCTATTCTGACAGTTTACATGTTTTACTTTTAATATTTCTAAAAAAAAAAAATCTAAGGATGCTTTAAAAGTCAAATTAACATTTACAATTATCTTCTGCAACTTAAATATACATATATTTATGTATTTATTTATTTTTATTTTCCTGGCTTACCTTTAGTTTTCTTTCAGTTACATTTTTGCTAACCTTTAGCCATTTGGGAAAAAATAAATACTGATTGCCACATTTAGCTACAGGAATGTGGGATTCATGGCTTTCTGTCTGTTTCTGTTTAAAATAAGGACATTTAATGGGTAAACCACCCTCAAAATCCACAAAATCATTTTTGGGAGCTTTTAGCAACTGTAATGAATGAATGAATTAGGCTATTTGTGCTAACTGTTTTTCTGTTTTTGTTACTATTAAGCTAAGGCTAACACAAAACAAATATATAAATATAAATACAGTTACAGCAACACTTCACCTTACATACACACTAATATCTTTGATCAGATTTTTTTTTAAATTCCTACTTGTTGAGGAAGTCCTGGAAGTCAGCAGGCAGGGTTCCAGGCACCGTCACTGGGTATTCCTTCACTTCTTTCCCTTGACTCAGGGCGAGCAGCATCAGCCCCAGGTTCCACACGTCCCCCTTCTTGCCAGTCTTTGTCGGCATCGTCGTCACCTCGGAGAACCGCACGTGGGCTTGCTCAAAAATGTCTTCTTTGCAGATGTCTGCAAATCTCTTGGACAGGCTGTAATCCGTCAATCGAACGTTGCCCTCGGCGTCCAACAGAACACTGGAGACCCCGAATTCCTTATGGACCACGGAGTTGGAGTGAAGGTAGTCGAGTGCCGCCAGCAGCTGAGCGGTGTAATGACGGAGTTTATCCAGGGGGACGGACGTGTTGTTGATCAGACTTTGGTTCAGGTTGACCCCAGGGACGTGCTCCACCAGCAGGTGGATCATGAGGCAGTCCTCCCTCTCGGTGGAGCTCAGCGCCATGTAACGCACCAGGTTTGGGTGATCCAGCCGTACCAGAGAGTTCAGCTCGTTTTCCGCCCCGTGGATCTACAGATGAAATTGATGGAGTTAGAAACAAATATATCAAGTAGGGATGTCCGATAATATCGTCCCGATATTAGCATAATTTTGTAAAATCTGTTCATATCGTTATCATTTTTTCACAATAACAATGCCTGGGTTACATGTAATACGATCTTACGATGTGACCTAAAAAGGCTTTAGTGCATTATGAACAATGACGTTTCCAGTCACTAGATGGCAGCATTGCAGCGTTTTAATAATCTATTTTAATAATCTGGGGATGGTATGCAGATTGCTGGTGCCAGCAACTCTAACTAGCAACTACAGTGGTATCGGTTGATATCAGAATCGGAAATGAAGTGTTTGGACAATATCAGTATATCCGATATCGGCAAAGAGTTAATATCGGACATCGCCGATATCAAGTCATACTCTCATGGTTTCAGCTTTGGACGCCGATTCGACTTCATCGTCTCTACTTGCCTGTTTCTTACAGTTGTCAATCTTGGCTTTTTCTTGGCTGGTGAAGAACTTGCCCATCTTCTTGTTCCAACACAGCGACCACTCGTAGATCACCACAAAGTCTCCCGAGTTGGCCTCGAACCCATAGTAAACGGTACGACTGACTCTCTCACTCACCCCTTGAGACGAGACATAACCACAGTCAGAAAAAAAGCACCAAACACCTTAATGGAGCGACACTGACTCCACACGGCGACGCTCTCACCTAAACATTTTCCTTTGTGGACGAACAGCTCTCCGTAAGCGGTGCTGTTAAAATGAAGGACCTCCTGAGATCGACTGTTCTCTTCATTAACCGTGTCACGTCTGCGGGAGGTAAATTCATCTTTTTAGCCTTACATTGATATTTTATTGATTTATATTGATTGATTTCACATGTGCAGTTGGTGCAGTGTACCTGTGGCGTGTACTTGAGGTAGTGCGACGACGGTTAGCAACTGCTTTTTTAGCTTCAATGATGTCAGGTGGACCGGCCTTTGGGCTGGGGGGACTCTTCCCCAACAGAGAAGGGTTGGCTGAGAGTGGCTGCTCCATGGTCTCCAGTCGCTCCTGTGAATGTCATCGACTGTAAAAATGACTACACATCAAGGCTGAGTTGGAGTGTTTGAATGTACAGTGAGGTCCAGCGACCTGCTTGGCCATTTCCTTCCGTCTCTTCTCCTCTCGTTTCTCTTCCTCTCTTTTCTGGATCACAGCCATAATCTCTTTCTCCTAAAAGGGATAAAACCAAATACCTCAGCAAACATTATCCTGTATTGAATCGAGTGGATTCAGAAAATGAGGAAAAAAAAAAAAGAAAAAATCTGATGTATCACTGGGAAGCTGTGGTTTATCACAATTAATCGCGATTAATCGTGATTAATCGTGATTATAATGAACCACGGCTATTCATGTAAAAAAAAAATCTGTATGTTGCAAACACAAACAAACACTATCGGCTCCATTAGTGTGGAGTGTTTTTCAATCTTTAGGTCGCGATCCCACATGAGGTCGCCTGAAATTCAAATAGGGTCGCCTGAAATGTCTACTAAATGATTTTAAACATTACTGATAAAAACAACTTTTTCAACTAAATAGTATTTTAATATTTTAATAATGATTATAAAAAAACCCCACAAAAAATTAAAAACAACTGTATTTTTTTCACTTACTGTACAAACCACTGTATAAGTTGCTGCCACCTAGTGACTGGAGGCTTGTCATCAAGCATTACAGCAGTGGTACACTTATGTCCAACGTGCCATATTCAATTGGAAGACCCTCACGACACCCCCCCCCCCGGCACCCCCTGCGCCCCAACAGGGGGGCCCGCCCCAATATTTGAGAAGTACTGACTTACATGAATAGTCAGGCTCGCCTAGCTGTACAATCAAGGATGTGATCAGGGAAAATTAAATGTCACTGTGCATTACTAATCTGGCTAATCTGTATTTCAAACATAGTTAAACAAACATGATCAAAAACTAATCCTAGAAAGAAATGAAAATTGTCTCTGCGGTCAGCAGGGAATTGTGAATTGTCAAAAAGGTTGGGATCCAGTGGTTTACTGAAACAGTAACATCTCCGTGTTCTTCACTCACCATCTCCTCCTCCTGTTTGCGTTGCTGGTCAATCTTCCGCTGCTCCTCCAGAGCTTGTTTCTCCTGCAGCTTCCTTTGGTTCTTCAGCATCTCCTCGTGGAAGGAGCGTGGAGGAGGCTTGTTGTGTTCACTCAGGAAACCCTGGATGTAGTCGGCCAGTTCGTAAATCATCACCTGGACGAACGGGTGTGGACGATTAATCATTTTTCTATGAACGTATTTACGTGTTTGTGTCTGCGTTCGCGTCCCTCCTCACCTCACCGCACCGCTGCGCTGCCAGTTGGCCGACTTCACTCTTGAGGTTCTGGAGGTTTTCATTGGAGAGGCCTTTGGGATTCACTAGCTCCAGCTCTGGAGGCCTGTGGACCCAGGGAATAATGTCAACAAGACGTAAGCACCAATAAACACTGAGGCCATCCTGGGTGTGAGAACAATTTTTTACAAAATAAAATCAAAATAACAAAACATATATATTGAAATATAAAATAAAATGTTTAGTTTTAATTTAATTTTTAATACATTTTTAATATTTGTGTTTTTTAAAAAAAGGCACACGATATATTTTTTTGGGTCGTCTTGCATCATGTTTCCGAGGAGTTTACGAATAATGTCTATTGACTTGGGTTGTGAAGGTTTGTGACTTTTAAAATACAGGTCCCCAGAATAAAAAATATAAAAATATATATTTTCCTAGCACATCCTTTAGTTGTCGTTTAGTTATATTTCATTTATTGGTGCCAAATTTACCTACAGTAATGTGGCTTTTTGTCAAATCTCAAATCTTTACAATAACGATAGTTTATGGGTATTTTACTACCAAAAAAAAAATCAAATTTTTGGCAGCTTTTAGCAATTGTGAAACTAATTTAAGCTAAATTAATTTGTGG